AAAATTATCGACCCTGGTCTAAAAGTACAGTCGAGTGCAATAAGTCAGTACCAAGGCAATTCAAAAATCGCTTGCGACGTTCAGTCATAGCTCCGCCTACTCTAGTATCTTAACCACTTAATTTATTCTGTCTTAACCAAGGTCACATTAGACCACTGCGATACACCCTTCGGGGTTTTTTATATTTAGAACATCTGTTTTTGTATCCTGTGTTTATTCCACAGACAGTCTGTAGTTTATTCTATGTTTACACGGATTGAAAACTATTTACGATGCAGCGGCATATTTCAGACGAAACCCGTATGCGAATTACGTTTTTGCAGGAAGGGCAAAATATATCGCAAAGAATTGAATATTTCGGTAAGAAAGATAAATTAAAAGGAAATACCGTAAAATATGGCGCGCCTTTTTGGTATTTAAGTTTTTAACGATATCAAGTGATGTAAAAATTAATAAATAGCAAAACGGCGCGTGGAAAATCAATCCAAATTACTATTTAATCCATGGATAATACCTAGGCACATATTTTTGGTATTTAATATGCATGTTAAAATTGGTAACTTAAATAATTGCAATTATCGAAAAGTATATTTTTTCTGTGCAAATTATTATTTTTAATTCTCATCCTATTGAGTGGTACATAAAATACGTTAATGCCTTAAAGACTCATGTAATGTTTAATTCTGTTAAAAAGCTGAAGATTAAATATTTTTTTACCTTGTGGATCTACTATTTAATACTCTAAACAAATATTTAATTATTTTTTACTTTAGATATACGCGTATATCGAAAAAATGTAAATTAATTATTTTTACAGCTGCATACATTTATTTTTACAACACTAGTGTCCCAATTACTTTACTCAATGCATTTGAAAGAGCTCTTTCGAATGCATTGAGTAAAGTAATTGGGACCGAATAAAATCGTTTATTTATCAGTGAAGGTGCTGTACAAATTATTTTCTTCGTAACTAAAATGAAAAATTATTGTGTAAATATTTCTTATAAAATTCGGTTAAATTTTTTCGTTATATTAAGTCTGATGTAAAAAATAATCAAATATTTGTTTAGAGTATTAAATAATTAAAGCCACAAAGTAAAAAAATATTTATCTTCAGCTTACAGAATTACAAATTACATGAGTCTTTAAGGCATTAACGTATTTTATGTATCACTCAATAGGATGAGAATTAAAAATAATATTTTGCACAGAAAAAATATACTTTTCGATAATTGCAATTATTTAAGTTACCAATTTTAACATGCATATTAAATACCAAAAAGGCGCGCCGTAGTAAAACGGGGCGATTTGAAACTCTTTGCAGCGCTTGACCAAAATACCTACAGGCTACTATCTAGGGGTTAAAAATTGAATATCAAAATATAGCTATAAAATATAACACCAAGCATGTTAGTTAGATTAATTTATATCTGTTGATTTTATTGTGCACCTCCATAAAAAAAATAATTTTTTAACACACTTTCTTTTATACAGAGATTCCTAAAAAGGCTTTAATAATGACATATTTTTTCCTGGACAGTAATTTAGTAGGCATTCATATTCTAACGGTTAGAATCTAATCCCAAAATTTTATATTCATGTCAAATTTATTAGTGGCGTATTATTTTATTTTTTTTTATTTCAGGGGCGACTTAACATATAAAAGAAAGCCAGGGTCGAAACTTAAGAGACTCAAGTAAAGAATATAAAATTGCGTTTAAACTTTATATAGAAAAAATAAAGGGAAGCACACAAAATTATTATTTGTTGGTCAAACCGAACAGTAAACTGTTTTTTTCTTAAAAAAAACTTTTTTTCTTAAAAAAAAACGATTTTCGTAGCAGGATATATAAAATATGATATTTTATCTTTCAAGTCGCCCCAATATTTTTCTACTAACAAATACAATGTTAATGCGCCCTAGCCTGAGACGACTTAAAGAAACACCCGTTATATATTTTTTCTTGAGAGTAAAGGGGGGTACAATTTTTTAGATATTTCACCCGGTAGCCACTACCCCAAAGTAATCTAAAATATTATTTTATTTCAATCAAATCGTCATAGTGATGGCGGCGTGTGCTCAAATATTCCCAAAAGTGTATCAAGTCGGGGCGTTTAGTACCATAATTAATTATTCCATTATTTTTTAATTTATTAATTATAAATATTTTATTCAATTTTTTTTATATTTTTAACGCTTATATTTTTTAAATTTTTAGAGGGTGTGCGTGTGTAGGTGGGTAACAAATTTTAGATAAAATCTATATTATTATATTGCGAATAAGTTTATTGACACTTGTTTAATAAAAATTATTAGTATTTTATGCCAAAAAGACTATGTTTAACTTTAAAAAAGTCTAAATTATGTATTATATCTATTGGTATTGATAGAATTATAAAAAAATATTATTACAAAAATAACGTCAAAACTCATCAAAATAAATATGAAACAATAAATCTTATACCGGTTCAGGTAAGAAATACCTAAATAAGCTTGTTTACGTTAAGGCAATAATTTTCACCCCACCACCTCGCAATGGCTGCAAGCGAATATAAGCCTTAGGGTGGTACTAATTCAATGCACTTGACTGTACCTATATTTGTATTAAAAATTTCAGAGGTTATGTTGAAAAAATGATCGATATGCTATTAAACTTTAATAATTTAGTAATTAGGTCTGTTGTTAGACCCTGCACTATCTCCACTGGTATATGTTAGTTTTGTAATATTTAAATCTGGTTGATGAAAAAGTACACACCAGTGCAGGTTATTGTAGCATCTACGAACAAATGAATTAATGGCCCATTGGCAATTATTCCTTTAGGAAAAATATTCAACACAGCTTAATTAATTAATAAAATGAAAAAAATCACAATCATGTCGTATATAGTTTTTTTTAAGCATTAAATAATTTTTATATTAAAACTAGTTCAAAAGTGAAATTACGACCTCTATACTGTGGAGAGTATTGAAACGCTCGACTGACGAATACAACTCAATACCGTAGGGAGATTTAGAAAATCATATTCAAACGTGGCGTCATCCTATACACCTCTATAATTTTCCGTTTGCTGTGTTGCTTCTTTATGATGTACTGATGTAGGATATTGGTTGTTACGTTGTACCGTACATTCTATAAGGTTCAATGTATGTTTTCCATTTTAAATTTTAAAAAAATGTTAAAAAAGATTAAATGAAGTGTGAGATAATTTTTTTATTTTTATAATAATTTATTAAGTGGTGTTTAATTAACGATTTTATCTCTTTTTATTTTTAAGATATTTTAAAAGTGCCTAAGTTAGACACTTTTTGCTTAGACCCTTCAATGGTTTTAATCAACTAGATTTTATTGAAAAAAATTGTTAAAAAAGTAAGCTTAAAATTATTTGAAAAATCAGGGTGGGGTTGGAACGAATTTTTGTTGGGCGGTTTATACGAAACTTATTACATAATATACAAAGTAACTAAAAAAGTATCTTATTAAGTATCTTAAAAAGTAACTTAAAATACGTATTTAAGTTCCTTTTTTTAAAGAGTAACTAGATACCCAAAGTAACTTCGGATACTTTTTCAAAAAGTAACTTATCTTGTATCTAGATACTTTTTAAAAGTATCTTTGACAGCTCTGTATATAGTAAATATTTTTAACATATCATTTAAACCTCATTTTTATTGCATAGGTAGGATGCAAAGTTTTTTTATGTTAACAAAGAACTGCCATCAAAGATCATAAACATTTTTAGCATATACCTATAACTTATAGTTATAGGTATATGATTTTTAGCGATAAAAATGTGGAAATAAATCTATAAATCCCATATTTCAATTTTCTTTAGCGTCTGTATACTGCAGAAAACTAATTGGTAGAGAATATTTTTAAGGTTAGGGGTAAACTGTTTTGTGTGCAGTAAATAGTTGGATTATTTACGTACTTGGCGATAAAAAGTATAAAAATGTAACCTTATGCCAATCTTTAAAATGCTTTAAACAGCTGTAAAATAGGTAAAAATATATTTTTTGAGAGTTCTTTTAGGTTAGGAACGTACAGTTTTATGTAGACTCTGAGGTAAGGCCATATTTATATTAGAGAAATACAAAAAACAAATGCTAAACCATCTATCAAAAATGCATTAAGCGGGAGTAAATTACGAGAAACTGCTTTTTAAGTTTTTTTTTTAGGGTTAGGGGCGTACCATTGTGTAATCAGCGGTAAAAAATACATAGAATTACTGATAATAGATCAGTGCATTAAATAAAATTCAATTTTTAATTTTATAAAGTTGTTAGTTAATGTAAACTACGTATTACGGATTTTTTAAAGTGATGTCTATTGCTTGCAGTCGCTATATTGACACCGCCATTTTGAAATTTTACAAAATACCACTCGGCATTTAAAAGTTAAGACGATAAGCTAAAAATTCATCACTTGCACATTTCGAAAAACTTTAGTCAATTTTGCACAGGAGGTGGCCGAGTTGACATGGAATGCCTCATATATATATATATATATATATTTACATTACGATAATTTTTAAGGGTTGGTAAGATAAATCCATTCCCAAAACTAAAATTAATTTCACAAATGATCTCATCAAGAACTCAGGATGAGCTCAGCAATGATTCAGCTAATGAGCTCCAGGTGAGGTCCAGGTGATTTCACAGAAATGCATTTGATGTCCGAGTGAGCTCACGCGATGATTATCACTGAGTGATTTTTTAATGAGTCATAAATGTTATCTGGGAACTGTCAAATGCGCAGATTTCTGTAACTCTAACTAAAAATATAACCTGTATATTACAGATAACTGTATTTACCACGGCGTTTGTACATTTTTCAACCATGTTAGTATAAAAATATATGGCCACACTGCGCAAATAACCGGTTATTCATCACTCATAACCGAATAATTCAGGTTATTTCAATAACCGGGTAATAGGTTATTTTTCACTCGAGTGATCCCAACACTATTTATAATGTTAAATTTAAGTGTTTAGGTTACCTCTATAAACTGGTTTGTGAATGCTGGCATAGTATTCAGAAAACTCCATGGATCCAGATATTTCTCGATCCATATCCAACAACATTCCAACACTTCCCAGATCTTGGTCCAAGACAAGAGCGGTTGGGAAGATGTTGCTAATTTTATCCATTGTAACTCTAAACAACAAAAGAGTTATTGCATAAAACATATATTACTACAAATAACACTGCTAAATTATACAACAAAATTGGGTAAAGGATATTTAAGATATTTACAAAAAAACAATTAAAAAAAACACCATGTCCCAGATAACCAGCGTCCTTCCGTTTGCCGGTCAGTTGCCTACTATTCGTTCTCTTGATATGGTAGCCGTTTGCTGTCAAGTGGGTGCCACCATTTGACTGTCTGTAGACAAAAATCTTTTCTAACAATATATTGTGTGCAATCCACGGGCAACCGACGGGAAACCTTTTGCTTATAATTATTGTGGACAACATAAGAGTTTATAGGCGGAAATGTTTCCTGACAACTTATAGTGTGCAACCCACCGGCAACAGACGGGAAACCTTTTGCTTATACTGATTGTGGGCAACGGATAGGAAATGATTTACCTATTCAAATTCACTGAATTTGGTGGCAATTTGCCGATAACGAATCAGAAATTAAAATAAATTAATAAATGAAGCGTTGAGAACCAGAGTGGCCTTACCCACAAACATTTATTCTAAAATGGGGTTATAATTTTAGGACAATATATATATATATATATATATATATATATTTGGGTGCTTTTTTTAACAAAGTTTTTCATTTCCGAAAAAAAGCACCTTAATATATATATATATATATATATATATATATATTGTCCTAAAATGATTGTTAACATCCTTTAAAAAAAAACATTTGTGGGTTAGGCCACTCTGGTTCCAAACGCTTCATTTACCTATTGATTTTAATTTCCGATACGTTATCGACAAATTGTCACCAAATTCAGTATTGCCTCATTTATTGGTATTGTGATTTTAACAAGAGGGTTAGGCGTAAATTTTCATACTCGAATTTTTTCAAACGTTGTTTTATTACAAAAATACCTATATTTACAAAGAAATAAAATATTATAAATATTTATATACACAACAGAATAACCTTATAAGCCGATAATTTATATAATAATAAATAATAATAATAATAATAATAAATGTTCTTTATTGAAAAAAATACATTTTTCAAAAGGCCATTGACTTTCGTCCTTCAGCCGGGAATAATAAATATATTTATTATTATATAAATTATCGGCTTCAAACAGGCGCAGCCTTATGGAATCTTCATTGTTTACGTTTGGATCTCGACGCTTAAGCCTGATTTATACATTGCCTTTCTTCCTTTCTTCCTCCCGTACAAGATGAACAATACAAAAACCGTTGTGCTTTTTAAAGATTCCCATACGGAAATCTATAAATGGCACTACGATTGTTCATCTTTTATGAGAGGAAGGAAGGAAGGAAGGAAATCTATAAATCAGGCTTTAGCGGTAATACGTTGACGCTGTTTTGCGGCAAAACTTTTGCCACTCGCCGTTACCTCTCTTTTAAGTTCAACACGCGTTGGTGGATCAAAGTTTTTATTGGTACCCACAGCTCCTGCAATAAATATATGTTTAGCAATAAACATATGTTTAGTTTGTATAAAACATTATTTAACATACCAAAAATAGCCCTAACAAGACAAGGGTTGTAAAGGGGATGATTGCCTTGCTCATCCCCCCCATGTATATTGGGTGCATATATATCTCGTCAGAGATAAACTTCCTGAACAGTTTATGAATGTGTTCTTTTAAGGTGTCACCACCTATAAAGGCCCCATAATCAATCTGAAAAATAAAAATAATTTATTAAAGCTTGGCTTGACAATTTTTCAGTCAGATTTTAATTAATAATTTGATAATTTTTTATGCACATGTTTATTAGACTACCCCCTACACTATGGTAAATTTTGTCGTTTCTTGGGAAGCATTTGGTTCTATTAAAATATCCACTAATGTGTTTATTCACGTCACTTTTTTGATTATCAAAAAATTAAAAAATGCCTAGCTGGTACACCCTGTATTTAAGAGCGATAAAAATTGGTTCGAAAATGCAAATTTTACAAGGGCGGTAAGGTGTGCTTTATAAAAATTTGTTGTAGTATAGTACAACAAATTTTTGTATACAAAAAAGATATTACATTAATTAATTAATTTAAAATTACCGCTATTACAATAGCTTCTGAAATTTTAAATAAATTAATGTTATTTGAATAAAAACCCTTATAAAATTATAATACTTCAAAGAAAAAACTACATCTTCAAAAAATCCTACATTTTTATGGCCTCTATTTAGGTACTATGCCGAAAGAAGTTTCACTTCAATATAACAAACTATTTAAAAATTTACTTACGTCTTGGTTTCTTTTTTGTATTTTTTTTTAATAATAATAATAATAATAAATGAACTTTATTGCAAAAAAAAGTTAGTACAATTTCTTACAAATGGCCATTGACCGAGGTCCTTCAGCCGGTGAACAGATCCTGAATATATGTAACAAAAAAAAAACAGTATATAATCGTGAAATTGAAATTAATTAATTAGTATGTTATCTCGTGTTTTTTTTATTTTCAAAGGATTTTTAGATTTTTCCATATGGATATAGCCTATATCATATAGGTACATATATCAAACTTGATCAATTTTAGATCTAAAAGAAGAAAGAAACAATTTTAAGCATATATTCAGGGATTCACCTTATCGATTTTTATTCCTCCCGGTGATTTTACAAATCATCGAATTTGTTGTGCATTATTTTAACAGTGCTATATATATAATATATATATATATATATATAGGCTATATAATATAGCTATAGCTAAAGCTAATAGATAACTATTGCGTGCATAAAACATACCTGATAGATTTCTTGTTTATATTAATCAACACGTCGTACACACACTCGCAGAACAAACCATAAATTTTAAAGAACAAATGGTGAGCGACGGTAGCGGGGACTCTCGCGCAAGCGCGGTTCTTTATTGTGGGAAATATGTTGGCCGTCGGTTGCACCTCTGTTGCATACAATTGTTGACTGGAATCTATTGAAAATAAGCGGCTATCTTGGGCGGAAACAAATTTCTTGCAGTTTTTATGCAACTGACCAACAAGGTATTTTAGGAAATGTGTTGCCCGTCGTTTACACCTCTGTTGAATACAACTCTTAATGAGAAATTATTGGAAATACGTGTCAAACTTGGGCCGAAACATTTTTCTTGCAGTTTGCATGCAACTGACGGGAAATGTTTTGGACTTCCAACTTATTGGCTTACTGTTGCATGAAATATGCCATCTTGTTATTGCCGACAACGCGTTTCTTTAGGTTTACTAAGAAACTTTGGTTATCTGGGGTATCTTAAAAACAAAGCATTTGCAAAACCATGTTTATATGAAGTTTTTGTCTTAAAATCACTCAATGAATAGTCTGTTAAATGTATTGTACATACTCAAGTAACCCCCTATACAGGGTGTTCCGAAATTAGTGCACCATACTTTAACAGCAGATTCCACGTGCAAAAATAAGAAAAAAAGTCCCTATAAATATAGATCGAGAAATGCCTCCTAAGCAGTAGCGTGCAAAGGTGATCGGAGTATGGTGCACTAATTTCAGGACACCCTGTATGTAGTTCTCCGTTAATTTTTTGTTTTCATAAAAATAAATGTTTAAAATAAAGAATAAGAGTTTTATTTAATTATAAAAACCCAATGTAATTTATTGGAAAATAAATATCCATTATTAACCGTGTCAAATACAGATCTGCATAACCATATTGCATAAACTGGATATCCAATGAATATCCATTGAATATCCACACTATGTCCAGCAGGGTCGGATAATTATATATGCAATGGTTATTCATTGGATATTGAGGATATCCTATGTATATCCAGTAGACTGGGCCAAAAAAATGACTTTTTTTTTTTTTTGAAAAATATATCGAAAATGTCATTCAGAATGACAAATAAAAAATTTCGTGAAAATTTGAGCCCTTAATATTAATTTTAAGAGGTCTATCATCGCTATTTTTGATTTTTAGTCATAATTTGATGTTTTGCGTTAGAACTGTCAAAATATTAAAGTGAAAAAAATTTCTTTTCACTTATTTTTATATAAAATTAAATTCTCTACAAAAAAGGTCTGATAGAAAATTTTCGTCAGACGAGCCGTTTCCGAGTAATTGAGCTCAATAAATCGATGTGTTTTTTCGATTTGCCCTTTTTACTTTACTAAATTTTGTAACTAATGAATCAATGAATATTAAAAAAGCTCACGTCGGATTCTTAAAGGAAATTTAATGTTCTACAAAAAAGGTCTCTTAACATTTTTGCCTAAATTTAATTCTTCAAAAGTTATTCACGATTAAAATCGAAGAAAAACTTAAAATTTCAATTTTTTCTTCGTGAATAACTTTTGTAGAATTAAATTTAGGCAAATATGTTAAGAGACCTTTTTTGTAGAACACTAAATTTCCTTTAAGAATCCGACGTGAGCTTTTTAAAATATTCATTGATTCATTAGTTACAAAATTTCAAAGTAAAAAGGGCAAATCGAAGAAACACATCGATTTATTAGGCTCAATTACTCGGAAACGGCTCGTCTGACGAAAATTTTCAATCAGACCTTTTTTGTAGAGAATTTAATTTTATATAAAAATAAGTGAAAAGGAATTTTTATCACTTTAATGTTTTGACAGTTCTAACGTAAAACATCAAATTATGACTAAAAATCAAAAATAGCGATGATAGACCTCTTAAAATTAATATTAAGGGCTCAAATTTTCACGAAATTTTTCATTTGTCATTCTGAACGACATTCTCGATATATTTTTCAAAAAAAAAAATAGTCCATTTTTTTGGCCCAGTCTAATATCCAGTAGGGTGGCGCATATCCAGGATATTCATAGAGGATATTAATTGGATGTAATAGTTCCGTGTGGAAGATAGGCGTGTAATGTAAAATAATAGATAATTTGTATTGAAAAGCAACCAATGGCCAAATAAAAATTTGCCATAATTTACAAATTACCAACCACCAATTTCGAATGATAGTGACATCTGGTAATTAACTTTTGAGCAGTATTGAAAATGAGTAACTTTGCAAACATTTCCTATTAGGTCAGTTTTTAGTTTAATACATTTTTATACAGGTTGTCATGTAATAAGTTGTCATTATTTGGATGGATGATAGTTCGATCCAAAGTACGCAAGTTTTTCATGTATCACTTTTGCATAACTGCTACTGTTTTTGAATAAAAAATCTTGAAAATTAACGTAATTTGTTTGGCACGACACTGGATTCGTTTAAACCATGACCTACCTAAGGTGTAAGCGATTGTGGTCGACTATACTTTGTTCGACTAGCTTTTGCTAACGCAACGAAACCAGTGTCTGCCAAGTAATTATAAACGTAAATGTTATATGTATATTTTTTATCACGATAGTTTTCAATGTTTCAGTAAAATAATACTTACATTTTCAAAGGATTACATTAAAAAAAAATCCAATCCATATATAACAAAAGTGGGAAGTGGGTTCAATTTAAAAAGAAAAAAATACTAGATAGACTGTGCAAATAACTAATAGCTATATTTAATAAATCTAATAATTATTTGTTAGTTAAGTACCCATCTGCACTGATCACGCTGGACGACATCTCACTACTTTCTTTTGAATTTGTTTCCGAATAACCTGGGGAACTGGGACCGCTGTTCGAAATGAAACTTGGAGGACCGCTCCAGCCTACACCTTAAGAAACAAAAATGAAAAATTAAAATTTAACAATAATGTGTTTATTTATTTTTATATATTAGGCTTACATAAAAGATTTTTTAAAACTAATTATTTAAAAAAAATTAATTATGACTTGCGCCTTGCAAACATCTAAAATAAATCAAAAAAGTTTAATTCCATTAAAAGTTAATTCCGCAGTATTGAACTTGATTGAAATTGATTTGGTGAACAAAAAATGCACGGGGTAATTAATCTTGTTTATTAACAAGGTGGTTTCTAAAATTATACAAAATTCTTAAAAAATTAAAATAAAGAATATAAATATAAATTTTTAAACCCATTAGGATTTACAGCGTAAGCAATAATTATAGACTTTATTGCTTAATGTTTAATGTCAAATTGCCTTTGCCATTAGAAGTGGCAAGAAATGCCACTTGCATTTGACTCAAATTCGTAGAACAATGGATTTGTAAAATTAATCATGTTTCGTTCTGAGAAGTACAACTGTCGAAAAATCATATTATCTTCTTTATATTGTACGAGTTTATTGCATTCCATGGGGCTGCTGCTACATCCAACAAATGAGCTGGTCGCAACTTGGTAAATTTTGACAAATTAATTTTAATATTTTAATTCGTCGTTGAAACTATGCAAAGGCGTATGTCGTTTTCGTTGCCAAGCAAAAATGTTTTTTTTGCTTAGCGCATTTACGTATTTTCAATTTTGTGCACGCATGTCCTTTAGTTAGATAGTAGTAGTCTATTTGGCACGCGTTCCTTCAGGCCATTTTTTTTATTGCAAAGCATAAGCCGGCTATATTCGTCCGACTCGTGGAATTTCTGGATTTGTGTAGCATCCTCTTTACTACAGACAGAGTCTGTAGAATGCAAAGAAATATATTCGTCTACTGTCTGCGATTTATACACAGTTTTGTAGTTTTAACTTTTGTATTAGGTACTTAAATGTAAGATTATGTTTGGTATTAAATATTAAAACAATAATATGTGTAAGTTCAATCCCTGTTAAAAATCACCCATAGAAACCAATAGAAACCAATAAAAAATTAGAATGGAATGAATTGGTCTCTATTGGGCCTATTGGTTTCTCAACAGAATGAGCATTCGTTTCTATTGGTAATTTCCGTACTGGAAAATGCCAATAGATTACCTAATGGTCTGAATTGGTTTTTATAGGAAGTTACAAGTACAGGAAATTCCCAATTGAAATTCAATTGGTAAATACCACTTAAATGTTCAGCGCCTGCGCAATTTAATACAAATGACCACTTGTTTCTATTGGCAATTTTCTTACTGGAAAATACCAATAGATAAACTAATGGTCTTAATTGGTATTTTATCGGTGTGTAGGTACAAGGAACCCTATTGGTATATACCACTTTAATATTTATTTTCAAAATTCGCCAATAGGTAGGCAACCCATGCATACCTCTCGCCTCTGTAGCACAATACATAGGCCTATAAAGGTGGAATGCCTTGAGCTGCTAATTAAGGATTCCTTACTAAGGCAATATTACTGGCCATGGAAACGCTTGGCGTTTTGGAATTTTTAAAGGGGCAGAGGTCGTCCTTTGGCCCCAGTGTTACCAGATTCTGTCAAAAAAGGACCGTACGTTTCGTTCGAATTTACCTTAATTACAAAATGACACAATGAAACAATGCAAATAAATGCAATTATGTCAAGTTGACGTTATTTAATATTGTCCATTGAGTCATTTTTGTAATTAAGGTAAATTCGAACGAAACGTACGGTCTTTTTTTGACAGAATCTGGTAACACTGTTTGGCCCACTCTGCGAAAAGTAATCAGTGGGCTCCACTACTTACTTTTAGCAGAAGCTATTTATAAAATTTAAATTAAATGTTAAACAGCACTATTTTTGAGAAATTATTTAACCATCAAAACACGTAATTTTTTACCTTAAAGACGTCTAAAATGGATAGTGGGGACCAATTCAAACCAATAGCGGTACCTCTGGAAAATCCAAATAGCTCTATTGGGAATTACCAATAAAATATATCTATAATATATCTATTGGGAATTACCAATAAAATACGATTAGTCTCTATCGGTCTGTATTGGGATTTTCCAGCGGTGTCGCTATTGGTTGCTATTGGTTTGAATTGGTAATTCATGGTACAGATACCACTATTGAGACCAATTCAAACCAATAGAGCTGCCGCTGGAAAATCCCAATAGCTTTTCTATTGGTCTTTATGGGTGATTTTTAACAGGGATGTCTTAAACCAGAGATTTTACTTTATATTTGGAATTGTTCCTAACATTTCACAAAAAATAGTTTTCAGCAAAACTGCTTAACTGGCTCATTTGTGTCATAAAAAGCTATCGATCTAGTCACATGCAATTTCATTATGAGACCAAAACAAATGCGCTGATTTCACGAATTCTCACCCAATACGATTTTGTCTTTAAATTTAGGCAATGGCTGATGGACATAAAAAATTAAAATAATAAATAAATAAAAAAGCGTTTATTAATCCCACAACTACTACTACTCTACTACATATTCATAATTTATAAACTAATGCATATTATATATATACTAAATATATATACTAAATTAAAATAACATTATAACGGATATTATTTTATGTTTTTTATATAACATTACATGGGTAAAATAATATTTTAGTTTTAACATAGAAAAATCCCCTTCAAGATGTTTTAAGTTCTTTTGTTTAAATTTAAGGTTTATAATATTTAAGAAATTTTGCCAAGTGTTTTTTAAATTTTGTTCCTTTCGAGTTCTTTTATATTTTCTGTCAATTTGTTGTATGTGGAAATACCCTTAAAAGAAATTAAGTTGCCCTTGTGGAAATTTTTCTCTGAGAAAGTTTTAATAAGAGTTTTTAAAGTCTTACTTTCTCTTAAAAAGTCTGAATATTACTTATTAAGTCGGAAGAGTTAATAAGACTTTTTAAGACTTAATAAGAATTTTAGCAGAGATATGGTAGGTACCTATAGCGATTAAAATAAATATCCGGAATTATTCAGAGATGTTGTAGTTGGTTATTGCAAAAGAAAGCACAATGAAAAGGATTAATAAACACTGTTTTTGTGTTGTTATAAGGCTTATAAAAACACGGAAACAATGTTTACAATATAAGTAAACAAACATTATTTTAATTAAATAGAATAAAACAGTTGGGAGATACGTTTGGTTTGTGTACATATATATATACAGATCCCTTGTTGATTAAGTACAGGGTGGTCCACGTAAGGTGACCCATAACTTATCTCAGAAACTACTGGAGTCACAAAAAATTTGCAAGAGAGAAATATTCACGTAGAAAAAAATATTTTTAAAATATTATATTTTCATTAATACAGGGTGTTCGGTTTTCCGTGGGACGATACCAACTTTCTTATTTTCAATGGAACACCCTGTATTTTTTTGCATTTTTAGATTTTACACACTAATTTAGGTATACTTTGTAAATATATTAATTCGGAAAATGTTAATACTTTTTGAGTAAAATTAAAATTTTTCTAAATGTAGACATTTGCTTAAAGTTAAAAATAACCAACTAAAACTTATTATTTTTTATATTATGTAGTATTCATCTCTTTAATAATAACCAATCTATAAGTTAAATCTTTTTTTTTATAAAATATTATACAGGGTGTTTTCTATCCTCTGTTGAAAATAACGATTTTAAAAGTTTAAAATCTTGTTTTTTTTTCAATGGAACACCCTATATATTTTTACATAATTGGATAAAATATATAAATTCCTTTCTTTTTGTATATGTCCTATACCTAAACCCAACAGAAAAAAAATATTCGCATTTTTTGTTTTATTCGCATTAGTAGCTTTGTGCGTATGGTAATTATTATTATAATATATATTTATATACGGGGATGGTAATGGGCTCTTAGGCCGTTTAATAAACAAAGATGTATGCTATATGAAACGTACGAATAAGTGAGATAAACGTATAAATAAGAGACAAACAACCATTGTTGAACGAATAGGATAACAAAATACTTATTTCCCCTCTGCCATAAGCGTGCAGTACAAGATTTTAAAACGATTAAATCAAAACAATTAAACGTCCGCCAATGTTTTACTTCCCCTCCTCTAACTGCTTTACAATCCCACCAAGATACATACACCTTAAGATAGGATGGTGCGCATGTTGGGCGGGGCTTAATACGTCACTTGATGAGTGTTTTTAAATCTTTAACGTGCTATTTAATTATCTGCTGCTAAAATTCTTGTTTTTGCGATGCGGTTGGATGTTAACTTGCTCTATTTTTTGTTGTTTTTGCTTTCGGTAAGGTTCGAATTACTTTTCAGTGTTCAAATTATTGTTATTGCGTTGTGTTAACCTGTTCTGTTTTTTTTATTATTGTTTTTGTGTTGCGTTAACTTGTTTTGTTTGTGTTTTAGTTTGTGTCGTACTATTTGCATTTATTAAAATGCGGTGTGGCATATTTGGATGCAATTCAGACAACCAGTCCAAGAAAAACCCTTTAAATAAAAACATTAAATTTAATCGATTCCCGAAAAACTAAAAGGACTAAAAGCATCTATTATCCATATTATAACACTTTCTTCAATATTAAGTTTAATAAAAACGCACTATGTCCAGATATTTCTCTATTAATTAATTTTCTACCTTATTGTTATTAATAAATTACCTTACTTTCTCTTTGGGAATACCCTCAGGATTAAACTAGGCACGACTGTATTCGGAAAAAATTAATCTTTAATTTAGGTAATAAAGAAATACTATAAAACAAATAAAAGGTAAATCTGCTATTAGTTTAATTCGATAATTACGATTGTTAGCTAGTTACAAGAAGATTGGAAATATTATATACCTGCATTTTAAAGGAAGGTGGTCATTTAATTTAAAATATATTGTTTATACTTTTGAAATTTGTATTATTTACTTTCCAGATTAAATCTGCTTCCATTTTAATCATTTAATATTGTAGAAGTATACACATGAAAAAGAATACACTCGTGCC